GTATGTGGAATTTTTAACTTTTGTTATAAAAACAAATACATTCCCAGGCAAAGCTATAAGGTAGAAATTAAATTTGAGATATGTATCAGTAATTTAAGGATAAAATACATTACAGGGATATTGTAAACACTCTGAAGGTGACTTTTTGAAAAGTGTGTTTTTTAAAAATATTTTAAATTTAATCTGGGACTACAAATACTAAAATACCTTAATTATAATCATATGGCTATTACATGACATCACTACAGGATAGAGTTAAGATTGTTTATGTGCTCTACTATGTATGGCCTTGCACTTCAATAGGCTTGGATTTCTTTTCAACTTAACTTTCTGATTTTCCTAAGTTTGTAAATCTTGGTTTGAGGATAACTGCTCCCCTGTGATGTATTTTACCTTATAATACTGCTAAAAACTCAGAGTACTGGTAGGTAAAGTCCCACAGGATGAAAATCTAAGGGAAAAGGAGTTCAGGAGGGCTTACACTTTGTCAGAAACCATATTAAAAGCAGAACAGCAAACGACCCCAATATGAAGAAAAGATAGAAAGAAATTGTAAGAGGCCAATATATGGCACTGACACAGTCCAACATGACATTCTTAAAGGCAAACTAGGGAAATGTGGCCAAGATTAAATTACTATAACCATACTCAGAGTTGTTATCAATGGTTTGCTGTCAAACTGGAAGAACGTATCTAGTGGGTCCTGCAGGGTCTGTCTTGAGTCCAATACTATTCAATATTTTCATTAATGAATTGGACAATGAAGTGGAAAAGAGGGCTTATAAAATTTGCAGATGACACCAAGATGAGAGGCGTTGCAAGCACTTTGGAGTACAGGATCAGAATTCAAAGTGTCCTTGACAAATTAGAGAATTTGTCTGAAATCAAATAGATGAAATTCAATAAAGACAAGTGTAAAATGCTACACTTAGGAAGGAAAGATCACATGTGCAAAAACAACCTGAGGAATAACTGTAGTTATGGGGAATGACAGTAGTACTGCTGAAAGGGATTTGGAATTTTGGTGGATCACAGACTGAATATAAGCCAACAGTATGATGCAGTTGCAAAGAGGGAGAATATAATTCTGGGGTGTATTAACAGGAGTGTTTTATATAAGACACAGGAGGTATCAGTCTCTACCCGGCTCTGGTGAGGCCTCCGCTGGAATACTATGTCCAGTTCTAGTGTCACGTTTTAAGAAATATGTGGACAAATTGGAGAGAGTCCAGAGAAGACCAGCAAAAATGATAATAGGTTTAGGAAACCTGATGTTTGAGAAAAGGTTAAAAAACTGGTCATGTTTAATTTTGAGAAAAGAAGCCTGCTAAGCCTTCAAATACATTAAGGGTTGTTATAAAGAGAGTGGTGATTGATTGTTCTCCATGTCCACCGAAGGCAGGACAAGAAGTAATGGGCTTAATTTGAAGCAAGGGAGATTTAGGTTAGATAGTATGAAAAGCTTTCCAGCTGGAAGGTTAGTTAAGCTCTGAAATTGGCTTCCAAAGGAGATTACAGAATCCCCATCATTGGAGAGTTTTAAAAACAGGTTGGACAAGTGTGTCAGGGATGCTCTGGGTATCTTGGTCCTGCTTCAGTACAGGGGGCTGTAATTGATGACCTCTAGAGGTCCCTTCCAGCTCTACATTTCTATGATTCTATGTAGTCTCAGTCTTATCTCCATCTTAATATCGTTTTTGTATTGAAATGGAAACACAGGAATGGAAATGATTGAGGTACACCATATCCAGTTATCTTGAACTGTAAGGAAGCCTTTCTTCTGAGATATTTCCATTTTATCCTGGAAGGCAATCCCTATTCATTCCACTAGAAAAGGACAAAATTCCCACCAAGGTTTCTACCAATATGCCAGCCATCACTTTAACAGAGACTTCCCAAGATTCCCACTAAAAGAAGGAATCCCACACATTTGGCCAATTTCTATTATTTGCGCTCTCTGTTCTCCTATATTGACAATGGTCCTATGCCCTGCTCTTCCCCTCTGAGCTGCTTGGAGTCACTATCTTGATTGTTGTTGTGGTTGGGGTCAGCTGACACTTCCTCCTCCCAGCACCTGATGTGGACATACTACATACTACTTGTATTTTAACCTGAGCTGCCTGTTGGTCATGTGTCTGAGTGCACAGGGGGAGAGTCAACTCAAAGGGGGGCAACAGATTCTGAAGATGTCCCAGAAATAGATACCAGCTGGGAGATTTAGTCTCTGTTGAGGGGATGGAATCGTTGCGTGGGCAGACGCCTATTCACAGGCTTCTATTCCTCTAGGCCAGGGATTCTCAAACTTCATTGCACCACGACCTCTTTCTGACAACAAAAATTACTTCACAACCCCAGGAGGGGGGACCGAAGCCTGAGCCCGTCCCTGCCCTGGGGTGGAGAGAAGCAAAGCCTGAGCCCCACTGCTCTGCGGAGGGTGGCCAAAGCTGAAGCTCAAGGGCTTCAGCCCCATGCAGGAGGCCTGCAACCTAAACCCTGCAGCCCAGGCTGAAGCCCTCCGGCTTTGGCTTCGACCCTGGGCAGTGGGGCTTGGGCTTCAGCCCTGGGCCCCAGCAAGTCTAAGCCAGCCCTGTCGACCACATTCAAAGGTCCCCGTTTGGGTTCCCCACCCACAGTTTGAGAACCACTGCTCTAGGCAACTGAATTTCTGGATACTTATCAAACTTATCAAAAACTGAACGTTTGAAGTTCTCCCATCACTAGTGCTTTTTTGTGGTTGTCTTTCCCCCCCCACCACACACACACACACTAGGTTTTTTTGCAGTGCTGAGGCTGCTTTTGGGGCAGATCCTGCAAACACTTGCATGTATGAGTAACTTCGTTCATGTGAGCAATCCATTAACTTCAGTGAGACTACATGTTTGTGTTTGCAGCATGGGGGCGTTTGTGTGCATTTTGGGTATCTTTGCATCATTGTGACAAAAATCAGTGAATAATGATGCAATATCACAATCCCAATAAACATTTGCTTATGTCTTCTGGTTGGGGACATGTAAAATTGATTAATAGAATATTTAGGCCTGTGCAATTCCCTTCATAACCATACACATCTCCTTCCGACCTCTCTTGGAAATCTGAATCTCTATTAATATTGTAATCATTACTGCTGCTGGTGCACCGATATGCCAGACCTCTACTCTAAAGTATTATTTGGGCCATTGGGGAGGGCAGTCCACTAGAGAATTAGGGCTCCTCAAGCTTAATGCCTGGGAGGTACCCTCTCCAGTCTACTCTTTGCTAAACACAAATAGGACACTGCAGATTTCCAGGCCAGCATCAGTACTTGTTATGTCTCATTGGACTGTCTCTGCACTGGTTCCCTGCCCAGTTTCTGCTGCTTTCCTACAAGCTTTACACAGACCTGACTCCAGTGGTAACATCTGCCAGGCATAGCCTGTTCCATGTGTGGTTCCCCCAGCGCCAGCTCTGCATGTGGTTCCCCATCAGGTTTCCCTGCTGCTCCCAATTTGCCACATGGACTTGGTTTTCTCAGAGCAAGGTTAGTCCCTGGATCAAGGTCTTTCTGACTCCTCTCCCTATTGCCAAGGGAGAGGGAACTTGTCCACAACTCTGAAGCATTCATCCCAATAGTCATTTAAGACATTCATGTTTGAACATGGAAGTGAGCAGTATTAGGTTACAGGGGGCAGTGTGATGCATCTGTTAAGGGTGATTCTGTTACTGTTGAGGTGTTTAAATGGCCAGGAGGAAAAGGTTCTGTGGTGCTTGATGAGGAGCAGGTCACAGAGGCACGGTGTCTTCTAGGTGGAGGAGTCTGGTGGCTGCAGGCAGTATGTGGAGTGCTATTTTAGTCCCATCATAAGCTAGAGCCTCAAGACCTAGCAGCTAAAGTGTTTACAGAACTTGCCTGGCTGTTGGGACACAAAGAACAAGATGCTTTAGGACAAAAGTTTGTGACCACAGATGGCTCGAGACCCCAGTTAAGCAGATTTACTTGATGATTTTTAAACCATTGTATAAATTGGAGGAAGACTAAAGACATCATTTTCAAATTTTGAAGCTTAAAAGCAGTTATTTAAGTCCACACATAGACACCTCACTAGATGGTCTGACTTCAAAGATGTTCAGGTGCTTACAGCTCCTATTGAGTTTGATGGGAGTTGCTGGCATTCATCACATTTTGAAAAAAATCAGGCCTTTTACTTAGGTCTGTGTGTGTGTGTGTGTGTGTGTATAGTAGTTGTTGCAGCTAGCGCCCTCAGCCATGACTGGGGCCCCATTGTGCTAGGGACAGTGCATACGCAGTCCGAGACAGCCTCTACCCTGAAAACCTTACAGTCTAAAGCAAACAAACATTGGAAGAGGGGACGCATTATTGTCCTCATTTTCCAGATGAGGAAGTGGTGAGATTGTGACATGTCCAAAGTTCATAGGAAATCTTTGGCACAGGTGGGAATTGAACCTAATTTTCCTGAATCCCAAATCTAGTTCCTTGACCACAAATACATAGTTCCTCCCAAAATAGTCCCCACTGGATATAAGGGCCTAATTTTAGGGATCCAATTTAGTAAACTTTGCCTTTAGATTTTTTTCAGTTTCTGAAACTTGGGCTTTCATCTCATTTGTGACAAAAGGAGCAGATCCTATTGCTTATTGGCACCTTGCAGGACTGGGTTAAAAATCATCATTATTTGAGTCAGAAGAGAGTTTAGAACTGCAAATTAAAACTCCAGACTTATTTTCAGATACATTTAATTCTATTTATCATGAGTGGTGTTTCTTTTCTGATTAATTTTGAAGAAATATGTAAATTTTTGCTTTTAAAGAATTACTGTTAATGTCAAATAATCTGTATATTTTCCTCCACTTAGTTATGCATTATATTTGTGTTAAAAAGCGATGATTTTTTATTTTTATAACAATAAAGATTGCATTTGAAATATAGTTACCTATGACACAGTGTTCCCCTAATAACACTAGTGTGGTGTTTTTTGTTTTGTTTTGTTTATTTTTTACTGTAGGCTGGAGGAAGAAAAGAATATTTTATCAGAATTGCAAGAAGATTTAAATGAATTCATTTTATGGTTAGAGGAAGCAGACAGCATTGTTGGTATTCCTCTTGAACCGGGAAATGAACAACAGTTAAAAGACTCTCTTGAAAAAGTGAAGGTAACATAAATTCTTATATTTAATGTCTTCTTAGTTTGTCATATCTGCATAAACAAATTTAATTGTTGTTCTTAATCCAGATTGATTTCTGTCAAACACTATCATTCCACAATTTACTAGATAATCCAAAAAATAGGAAGTCCTGTGTTTGAAAGCCCAGGAAATATTTGAAATACCAGAATATATTGCCTGCATTAAAATTAGACTAGAAAAAGTAATTGAAAATATAGAGTTGTAAAAGAGAGACCTTTTGTCATCCCTAACTAGTGTGTGTTTCGCGGGAAATGGGACAGAGAAGAAAACCTAATGCTTAATATTCAGCTCTTTAATGTAATTAAGAAATGTCTCCTTTCTTGGCTTAACCATTTTAGCAGCAAGATATTTCCTTGTGGCGGGCTGAAAGAAGTCCCCAAAAGAGTGTTTAAAAATATAAAATAAAAAAAACCCCAAAGTAGGCAATTTTGATAAGAAAAATTAAGTTTAAATGAAAGGTCATGGGGGCCCCAGAGATTCCAGGTGCCAGTAGAATATGTGAAAACTGCCTCCCTATTATCGCCAGACATAGCCAAATGTGAGAACCTCCAGGCTTCCCAAACACTCATGTAATTCTATTATCATATATGGCTAGTCACCTGTTGAGATCTGAATTAGTTAATGACCTATTGTGTCCTAATTATGATCTTACACCAATGTAAACAGAACAGGCTGTAACTGCCCTTCGTTTGTACAGTTTGTTTCTCCCTATTGTTATTTGAACTGCTTGATCTGTTTGGCTTTTAAAACTAAACCAGCCTCAATAACTACAATTTTAAAACAAGTTTGATTGTAAAGCACCCTGAAACTGTTGGAGGGGGGACTGTTTCATATACGCCTTATTTTTTTTTCTGCAATAAGTTAGTTTACCTTTACTTTGCTGACTGATCTCCAGCTACTTTCTGTGTATTTTAAATCGTCTATGTGATCTCTCCTTCTAAAATACTTCTACTGCCCTTTTAGTCCACAGAGGTTTAACTCTTCCTCTTCCTAATGAAAAGTATCCTCTCATTATTAGTCACATAATGTAATATTAGCCTTCCTATGACCATTCCTATAAACCAGATTGTCTTATTGGTATCTGTGGAGGTTGCATGTAGGGCTAAATGGACTTCATCCTGACTGACTGAATGTCAGTGAGTCAGAGGAAGAATTTTGAAGAGGCTTTTCATATCTTTCATCTGCCTTTGTTTAAGTTATCCCTTCTAGAGCCAGGTAGACTTCCAGCACTCACAAACCTAGTTTTTAACCCTGTGAGTCTGTAATATCAGAAATGTGAAATCTAGGAACAAAGCAAATAAAATATATTTGTGCATTTATTTATTTATATGTACAGAGCATTAAATGTCCATGGCGCTTTAAACAATCCCTGTCCTCTGGAGCTTACAATCTAAATGAAATGCTACCTACATTAGAAAGTGTTTGTTTTGTTTTGTTTTGTTTTTTGCTGCGCAGCTCCTCTGAGCTTTCATATGTATGTGTAGAGCTTTGGAGGTCTCAGGTCCAAATGTACTAATGTCAGTAGCTGGTAGCTGCATTTTGGATAGCAGGTGGGGGAGAAAAGGGCATATATGGATGAGGATTCTCTCTTCTCAATATGTATTAATGTGGGCAGGGGAGAAGTATGTTAATGTGGGAGGGAACCCCTCCCCCAATAACCCCTAAAGGATGGGTGGTTCAAAGTCAAACCTACTGGTGATGATATTTTTTTCCTTAATAGTTCAGGCTTTTAAGCCATGCTGTGAGCCACCTCTTTTCTTTTTGATCCATCCAAGGGAAGTTACCCCAAACCCAGTGATATAGTAACTATTAAAGATTCCCTTGTGGCTCAGCTCAGATTTTGATAATTTTTAAAAATGATGGCTGCAGAAGCTTTCACTTTCTATTCTATAACACTTTGGTTACTTTATATGTTAAGCTATATTAACACTATAAATTTGCAATAATTGCATACAGGAAGGAGAATAGATTCAGATTATGGAGACACGATAGGCAGGACACTCCTAAACATTACCAGTAGCCCTCTGATTTGCAGTGTTTATGAATATATTATCAACATTATTGCTTATGGGGTTGGACCAAAGTGCTTAGCACTGCACAGAACATGGAAGAGACATGGAACCTGCTCTAAAGGGCTTACAGTTCACACAAACAAAAGGCAGCAATTAGTAAAGCACCAGGTGACCAGAAAGAAAGATTAATCACACAGCAGAGAAGAACTTTTATTTTATTTCCCTCTGGGAAGCTTGTTTTCCTTCCTTTTTGGTCTCCTCAGAGAGACACTCTTTCCCCACTATAAGTCTGCCTAATAGAGTCAGCATTTGCTGTTTTTCTGAGCCTTTTTAACTCAAAAAACCGTGGCTATTTTGTGCTGAATTGAGCCCTGAGCCTGGTTTCTGCAGCTGATAGACTAATCAATAGCAGCGAAGATAAGGGAGTTGAAAATTCTACCACAGTTCATTTTAAATGTTGTATTTGTCTGTTCCAGTTAAGAGTGGAAGAGCTGCCTCCACACAAGGGAATATTGAAACGATTAACTGAAACTGGAGGAATAGTACTTGGAAGTACATCACTGAACCCAGAAGGAAAACATAAGCTTGAAAATAGGCTCAAGGAGGCTAACCATCGCTGGATAAAGGTTAGACATATTAGCAATGATATTATGACATATAACGCTAATCTGTTAGAAGTACTTATACATTCTGTCATGTGTATGCTTTTGCTCTGAATGAACACGAAGGTTAATCTGTATCTGTTATAGAATAACAGAAAAAAGCAGCAAACAAGAATTGTAGCTGTGATGCTGGGTGACTTAATAACAGTGGTATGGACAAGATTCTTTTTTTAAATGGGTGCCTAAAGTTAGTTTTCTGCAGCCATGTATAGGCACTTAAATAAGTGGTTTTCGGTTAAAAAATGCTGAGGAGAGGGGAAGGATTTGTTCTCCAATCCTGGCTGTTTTGTGGCTGCTACTGCTGCTCTGAGGCTAGAGTAGCTTCTGTAGCATTTATAGCACTGCTCCATTGGGGGTAATATCCAATGGGTGTCTACATTTGTGGAACCACTGGCTACACCCCAACTCTTTTCCCTCTCCAAACCCTTAAAATTATACAGGCAGCCTCTGTGGCACTGGGCTCTGCATCCTGCAGGCCTTTCATGCTTCCTCAGATCCCGTCTCCTGCACAGTGGCATTGTACTTATTCTGCTATCTTAGATTTCTGTGCCTGTGGAGAGGGCTGGGGAAAGGTTTTGCTGGTTTTTATTTGAATATATATATTGCTATGCTGAAAAGTGTGAATGTTGGCCGTCAGTCACAGATTAAAGGAGAAATTGATGAGTATTCCAAGTGCCCCTCATTCAGGCTAAATGAGGTAGCAGTTAAATACTCCTTTATTTATTAATAGCGGAAACAATAGAAGCCATCACCCAAGGCACAGAGCAGCAAAGCAAGGCTTGAGTAGAAGCTGAATCATGTGGGCCAAGGAACTTTCCTGGAGACTGATTGCATACTCGAGATCTGGGGCATTGATTTGGTTGCAAATGCATATATGTATGTGAAGAACCTGAAAGCAGGGGGAAATCCAGCAGATAGTGGGAGAATCAGTGTTGTATGCCCCTAGGAGAATACCTTTTGGGTAAAGTTCTTAATGAGAAGTTAGACTTGAAATTTTGAAAAAGGAAACACCTCCCGTTTGTTTCTACTGTGTTCAGGGAATCAGGACTTTCTATTTATGGTACTTACATGGCCCTCATCAGTGTGGTATCTGAATGCCTCACAGACTTTGATGTGTATTTAGCCTTACTGAGAGGTAGGGAAGTTTTATTATCCATTTCATAGCTGGGGAACTGAGGCACAGAGAAGCTAAGTGACTTGCCCAAGGTCACACAAGAAGTTGGAGAGCAGAGTCTTCTGAGTATGAGGCTAGTGCCCTAACCACTGCATCATCCTTCTTCTGGACATGCCTTTGTATACATTCTTTGTAGATAATCAGGATTACACCAAAGAACCATTTGATTCATATAATCAGTTTTGCCTCCTAATAGAAACAACCTTTCAAGGCCTTGAACATTGGCTAACTACTCAGCTTGAAAGAAGAAACTATATTGACCAAAATTTGCAAACCTAGATGCCTAGAAATGGGCACATAAATCAGTATTTCTGCACCTATGCAGAAGTGTCCTTTTCTCTAGAAAATGAGTGAGCTCCCAGATATGTCTCTGAAGTCAATTGTAAATGAATGAATTCAGCACCTCTGAAAATCGGGTGACTTCTAATTTTATGATTAAATATGGATTTACATACCTAACTTTAGGCTCCAACGCTTGAAATTTTGACCATAGCTTAAAAGGAAATAATTAATTTTTAAGAAAAATGTGTTCTTTTTGTTAGTGTTTCTTTTTGTAAAAGATGTTACAAATGCATTTACACAGAAACTGTGATTTCTAATTTTATCAGACTCTGAATATAATCTGTAATTGACTATTTCTGTATTCCAAGACTTTGTGAAAGGGATATCTTTTTACATACCTTTTTATCTCCTGTTTATTAATACAGAAAAGATTCCTATTTCTCATTTGTCATGGTCAGAGTGACCCAGAAAATTATGAGCACCATTGTAGTATCTGAAAGTCAGATCTCGTTACTTCTGGGGGCTTATCCTAGGATTCTTAAACACATTTGCTAGCTATAGCTTCTCTAGGCCTTGGTTCACGGTATATTGTGGGAGAACTTGTCTCTCTATCTTGTGGTACTTGACTGGAAGTGCTTGTAGCCTGCCAACGTCTCCAGCAGAGCCATTTTGGGGTCTGCAAGCTCCCTGCAACCAGAGCCAGTAACAGTAATCCAGCATCGGTGGAAGAACTTCTGCTTATACTTTCACTCCTATTTTGGGAATCAGAGTATCTCTGTGCTGGTGGATGTTTCAGCAGTGGTATTTGTCCTATCAGTGGCATCTCTCAGAGTGCAGTACTGACATGGCAGCCAGAACGCAGCTGATGCTGCTCATGACTGTTGCAGATTCCCCATACATAGAACAGAGCTTCTGGAGCAAGATCATGGGCACAGATTGGTGGGATCACATCATCTTGCAGACCTGGAATGACAAGCTTCAAAACTTATGCATGAAGAAGTAGATGTTCATGGAGCTGTGTGATCAATGTCAAGACATGTGCATGAGGAAGGCCCAGGCAGTCCAGAAGCATGTTACTATAGCTATTTGGAAGCTGGCTACCCCAGACTTCTACTTGTCCATGACTAACTGGTTTGGAATTGGCAAGTCAACTGTGAGGCTTGTGGTGGTGGAGATTTGTGAGGCCATCAGGACTGTGATTTACCCAAAGGTGGTGAGCATAAAAAATGTTCCCAAAATAATTGCTGGTTTTGAAAGAATGGGCTTTCCAAACAGTTCTGGGGCTGTCGATGGGACTCATGTATCCATAGTTTCCCCTCCATAAGGAACATGGGAGTATATAAGCTGCAAACAGTACTACTTCATCTTTATTCAGGCCCTGGTCAATCACAGAGGCCGGTTCATGGATATCATCATGGGATGCACTGGCAAGGTGCATAATGCCAGGGTTTTCTGGAGCCTGGGACTTTACCTTCACAGACAAGATGGGATATTGTTCCCATCAAATGGTATTATGAATGGAGTCACTGTCCTCACTGTTTTTCTAGGGGATCCCACATGCCCCATTTTCCATGGCTTATGAAGCTGTATCCTGATTACAGAGGGCCTGGCAAAAGAAAGTTCAGCTACACGCTTCGTAGCTGTAGAATGATGATGCATGTGCATTTGGCAGATTGAAATCTCAGTGGCACTGCCCTCAAAATCATTTGGATGCTTATGTTATCAAAACCATCTACATTATTGTGGCCTGCTGTGTATTGTACGATGTCTGTGAGGACAAAGATGAGCCATTTTGCCAGGAGTGGACTCAAGACACTGATTGCTCATCTTATACACTCAACCAGAAAGTACACAATTATTATTGGAACAGGGTCCACATATGTAATAGAAATCAGGGTGCTTTGTGTGCCCACATCACGGGTTTTCATGGTGCAATGCATGAGGGGGAATGACATAGTATTTGTAATTGTGCCAAACTCATTCCACTATTTCTGGGACTGGGGCAGCTTGGGAAAATTTATTTTTATTAAATTTTGTTATTCATTTTATACATACTGTTTGTGTACCTCATCACACTGTTTTTGGATTACTGTGATGAAATTTTATGAATTTTGTTGTGCATGTTATAGAAACTGGTCATGTACCTCAACACACAGCATATGGATTATTGTGATGTTCCATTTTAATAAAATTAATAAAACCTGTTGTGTTGAAACTGAACATTTTATTTTAAACATTCATGCAAATGACAAATAACAGTGTAAAAATGCCGATAGGTGGGCAGCTGCCATTAAGACGTAAAAAAAGCAATACACAAAAACAATGCCTATTAAGAAATCAAACAGTCCAAAATTCACAACGATAAAACAATGTATATTGTCACCATAGCAGTTTCATTGCCTATGGGTGCTCATTGGGGTCCTGTTCTCCTTGGCCCTTCTGGTGCATTTTGCATGAGTGGATCACAGCTGAATAATATTGGAGGACTGGACAAGGGTACATTTGACTGTTCCATGTAATGTTCATTGCTTGAGACATAGACCAGCCAGCCCCAGAATAGTCCAAAGGCTGTATAGGCTGCAGAATATATTAACTCAGAGGTGACTCAGTGCTGTGACAAAGTCAGAGCAGACAGCTGTAAGAGAGTGATGGAAGGCAGATTAATCAGCCCCAGAATGGTAAAAGCTCTTCTCCCCATGAGCTGAAAAGAGGTTACCTCAAGTCAACCAAGGCCACCTGAATCCAAGTAAGGGCTGCCTGTGACCTTTAAAAACATCCTCTCCTAATGAGAGGGGGAGGAAAGAGGAGAGACAAGCTGCAGCACGGCTAGTGGCAGCAGGAAGAAAAGGCTTTTGGGTGGAAGGCTCCTCTCCTCCTATAGGGGAAGCAACTTTCTGCCTGTTTGGGGAAGGACTGGCACCTTGAAGCCAGCATAAAAAGGCAACACTCCAGAGAGTGGACAGGGAAAGGTATTCCCTTTTTGTGTTATGAATTTTTCTTTGGTTTGGCTGAAGTGCCCTAGAGGTGGAGGGGCCTGCCAAGGCAAACGAAAGTGCACATTATTCTCTGATCATTTAAAAAAGAAAAAAAACAAAAAACTTTTCTACCATTTTCCCGGAGCCGGATCAATTCAGAGTCAAAAGATGATGCTTGTTATCATTTGGTTTTATTTTATTCACACACAAATCTCTGGACAGTGCGTAAGATCCTGCAAGCTATGCTGCAAGCCAACATATGTCATGGTAAGAGCACATAGCAAAAGCAATTAAAATCATTTATAAATCCCCACAATTTTTCCCTGTGTGAGAGAGAGGGGGAGATTTTATTAGCATTGGTTTTACAATAGTTTCATGTGAGGCAAGCTCTGGAGAATGTTCTTGGTCTGAAAGTGCCAGTGTGGAAGTATGACCTTCTGTTTCAGGCCAGCAGAGGAGAGCCACCCATCTATTCTAATGAGATTTTTAGGCCCTTGGTGATTGCCTGGCACATCTATGAATGGAGGGGCTTA